TTTTTTCCCTCCCCACCCTTCTCATTTTTTTTTTTTTTTCCCTCCCCACCCTTCTCAGGACTTTTCCTTTCTCAATTATGAGTGATTTTTATTACTGGAATGAAACACATTTCAGCATAAGTTTTACTTCTGATTTTCATCTTATGAATGTAAGGTTGAAAAACCTTGTTCACCTAAATAAATTAATAGGAATGGAAGGAGTAACGGCATTGTCACTAAATTCTTGAGACATTTGCCCAAAATCACATCAACTTAACAAGTTGTTTAGATATTCCTTAGATTCCTTCTGTTGTTGTTGTTTTTTTAAAGCAAAGGATTGGAAAAATTTTTGTTATTTAAATATTTAAATCTCAAAAAGATTTGTTATTTAGTCATTAGAGTTCAGTTCTACCCCAGTACTTTACATTGTCCCTCTGAATGGATAAGACGTATGCTTTTATTTATAAAGTGGAAGAAAGGCAAGTATAAATAGAATGTTAGAACAGAGAACCAGTTTGATATACTGCAGGTGCATTCTTATGTGGATCAGTTTGAAGAAAGATTACTTATGAAACCTTACTGAAACTGATTATCCTAAGACTGTCCATACCCATGGCGGGGGTGGGGGGCCGTTGTAAAGTCTTTACATACAGTAGCACCTGTATATACCCAGGTGTAGGCACTAGAAAGGCAGTAAGGTGGAGGTTAAGAAGCTTTTGTGTTAAAGAGTTAGGCTGCATGACCTGGGACAATTCATTTAACTTCTCTAAGCTTTAGCTGCCTCATTTAAAATAGGAATAATAAAATCTGCCTCATGGATTATTGTGAGAGTGTGTTAAAGCCTTTAGCAAAATACCTCGGTTGTATTGGGAAGCTCTCAGTAAATGGCATATTCCTATAGGTTTATTCAAATCAACAGTGAACTAACTGGTGTAATCTAGTCAACAAATCTGGATTCAGGGTGGTCATTCAGAATCAGTATTGCTATCTTCATTCTTTAAAAACTGAATTGTATTTTATTTTTTAGAACAAAATATTGTGCTGATAAAGGATTATGCAACTTTAAACCTACCTATATTCCAGATTGAGTGATTTCGGCAAGTTGTCTTTCTGACTCTTGGACTAACTTTTGTAAATACATTGTACTGCTTAAAGGTGTAGATAGTTTTTATTATTATTATTATTATAGATTTTCATAGCAGTTGCTGTAAAATTGTCTCTTTTGCTTGTGTTGCTTATAAGTGATCCTGAATCATCTTAAATATATGACAGTACCAAGGGCAATAAATTATTTTTACATATATGAAATTCTGGTGTTATTAGCACTGCAAATGTGCAGTTAATCATTAGAAAGAGAGAACCCATTGAGATAAACATATATCAAAGCATAATTAGCCTGGAATAACCTCTAAAAATAGAAGTTACTATAAATAATATCCTTTATTCTGTTTATGTGTAGCACAGCTGAGTTCTTGCAAGCAGGTTCTATCTTGAGTAGTACCTGGGGAATTAGAGGAGATTCATAATTGTAGCTGTGTGAGAAGGAAAGGGACAGATAACAGGATCTTACCTCCCATCTCCTGTCTCCCAAAGGGAAAGTTCAGTTTAAAGAATTCTAAACTAGAACAAAGAAGTAGAGTAACAAGGGATTGGCTAGGAGGAAATAAAGATAATTCTAAAGAATATGGGAAAAGCACATATAAGGAGCAGCCACCATCTGTCAGGCAAAGCTAGGACACCAAGGAAGAGTCCCTAGTCCATCTCAGGGCTGAGGTCCAGACCTTGATGGAAATGGCATAGGTGGCTTGCTATATGACAGAGAAGTCACTATGGGATGTGCTGGTGGAAGTTGCTGGAAGTCAGCCCTCTTAGGGTACTAAGGAAAGCTGTTCATCGGAAGGTGTCTAACTGGAATTGCTGTGCTGCAGAACTATTCAACATGGGTGGTGGGGGAGGCTGCTGGCTACTAAGTGCATTACAGAAACTGGCTGCTGGAGAAGCTGTGTGCACTATAAGAATCTAGTGCTAGAGAAAGCCACAAACAGCACACTAGTCCTGGTGTGCTCTCTGTCAAGCAAGCACACTGGGACAGAAGAAAAGCCCTTTCCTCCAGGAGTGTTCTTCAGCATCCTCTATGAAAAAAGCTTAGCATCATGCCAGGTGTTAGGAGGGAAAGTATTAAAATGGTCCGGATTTTCACAGAGCTGACACAATAGTAAATTTGGATTTGTGGAGCAGTAATTCTGTAAATGGAACATTCGAGCCTTTTGACAACTTGGCTTCCATGTATACCTTTCAATGCACATTTAAATTTCTATCCATCAATACAATTGTATTTCCACCCACACCCAACAAAATACAACTATTAGTTTCACTCATTATCCAGAATGAGAAGATGACTAGTTCCAAGAGTCATTGTATCCATCACTAGCTATGCATTACTCCACAAATTCATAATCACACTGAATATTATCTTATATAAAGACTAAATTGCAAATTTATCTTACAGCAACTGTCATATGAAATAGAAATAGGAAAGAGAAAAAGTAAATTGTTGACATATACAAATAAGCGCATACATAAAACAAGCAAATAAAAAATAATATGCAAAATTACTAATCCTTATTTCTGGCCATGAGGCTGTAAATGATAACTAACTACAACTTCCTTCTTCCATGACCCATTCATATTTTCCTTGCCCTCATCCAGAAGCTCACTCAGCTGGTTAGCATTCTTTACTTGGTAGAGTAACCCAAACATTGTTTATATCTTCAGTTGTTGTTGTTGTTGTTATTTGGCTGCTGCAGTATTCTGGTAACTTTCCTGTTGGGCATGAAAGTAGTAAGAGATTCACACTCCAGGTGAGATTATCACAGGGTTTGTAAGCAGAGGAAGCCTTGTCTGTGGAGGGCAGACTATTTCCACTAGTAACAGGAGGCTCAGAGTGACCTGGGGACTCAAGATTATCAGTTTCCTCAGAGTTCAACCAGATGTCCCCATTCCAGGTTTCAGAATCTTATTCCTTAACCAATCAATGGTAAAACTTTTGAGAAATTTGATGAGACTGAGAAGTCAACTCTCATTTTAATTTAGCATTCCACACAATTACATTTTGTTTTTGATTTTTTGGAGCAAGAGCTTCTTTTAGGGCTGGTCATGGATGCTTTCTGGCTCTCAAACCCTGTTGTATGAGACCTGAGTTTTTAATTTTTTCTATGAGTGCACAAGGGCACTCCTAATAATCCGTCTCACATCACAGTTTTTATAGTTAGATCACTGTGGCCGTAAGGTCAAGTATAGCAGTTGTCTGGGCTCCTAAGACACATGCTTCAGTTGGCCCTTCATCCCTGTCAACCACAGTGATACCTTGATAAATTATGATGCTACTACAGACTATGGATTAATAGCATCCCAATCTCATTGGCAAAGAGCTCAGCACTGAGCTGCTCTCAGGCCCAAACAAACGAATCCCAAAATCCTTTTCTTGCTGTTCTGTGTCCTGGGACCACTTCTTAGCCTCCCAAAGTGCTGGGATTACAGGTGTGAGCTACTGCACCCAGCCTTAATTTTTGTACTTTTAGCAAAGACAGGGTTTCACTGTATTTGCCAGGCTGGTCTCAAACTCCTAACCTCAAGTGATCCACCTGTCTCAGCCTCCCAAAGTGCTAGGATCACAGGCATGAGCCACTGTGCTTGGCCGACACAAGGTAGATTTTTATTTCACTTGTAGAAAGTTGAACTCTGTGTATGTTTAGTTTTTATTTTCATGGTGATGGTGGTGGTTCCTTCTGAAGAGGCAAAAGGAGCAAAGGACTAAGGCGAAAGAAACTAATAAGAAGAGAATAATGGTGATATAATTTTGGAGATACCCTAAAAAATAGTTTTCTGTTACTATTTTAAAGTATTTCCTAACAAAGAACTGTACCTTTTGTTTTTCAGACTGCCCTGGCACATTTAGAGTCTCTTGCAGTGGATGTTGAGGTGGCCAATCCACCAGCCAGTAAGGAAAGCATTGATGGTCTTCCAGAGACCCTTGTTCTTGAAGATCACACTGGTAAGGGCAAAGCTGATCTCAAATGTTAAAGAACACGTTGCACATTTAAGTATGTTATCAGTGTACATAGATGATGAAATACTTGATTATTAGAAACTTTCACTAGATTTTTTTTTTTTATAGAAGCCACATGCTCACAAACTTTCACCTCATATAAGAATATTTTTAATTTTCAAATGATAGACTGAGACAAATCTTCTGTCAGCTTTTTTATAAAAGCAATATTTATTAGATTCTAAATTGTCAAGTATTAGAAATGCTTACCAGTTAACTGATCAAAGACTCTCTTTTGTCTTTCAGAGATATCATCTATAAGTATAATATGTTGCTTTTCAGTTTTTTTTAAAATTGAACTATGTGTGAGTAATCTAAATTATTCGTCATTTTCAGCTATTGGTCAGGAACAATGCTGTCCAATCTGTTGCAGTGAGTATATTAAGGATGATATAGCAACAGAGTTGCCCTGTCACCATTTCTTTCACAAACCTTGTGTCTCAATTTGGTTACAAAAGGTGAGTGATAGAATAATTAATTTAAAAATTTAAAAATTAATACTTTTAACAGTGTCCTCTGCAAGTAATTAATAGTAGTAAATTTTAAACCTGTTTATTTAGCTACAAATTTGTACTTTTTAATTCATTGTTAAAAACTGGTTGCCTTTAATGATTACAGATTAGGGATAATATGGAAGTGTTTTATTAACATTGTCTAAAAAACAACACAGACAACAATACCATGTTTTTAATCATAACCCTGAAATTTGGTGTTTTCAAAAGTATCACAAGCACAGAAGCCTTTGGCATTACTCAAAGTACTATAACAATGTACAGCTATTCTTCTAATATGGGTTGGTGTTTCTGAAATGTATATGAGAGATTTAATAACCTACCAACTAGCTCTCATTCCAGTTTTTATATATTGTCTTTAAATATTTACCCAATAAATCTTAAGCATATTTGAATTATTTAAATAAAGGAAGTGTTTTACTTAAGTCTTTTTTGTGAATTCTATTTTTGCATAAAGGATTTACCATCCAGCTCACTAGGAATTCCCAAATCACTTTCTTAGGTTATCTACTGAGAAATACAACTGCTTTTCTTCCCTATAACCAGTGCTTTTTTTTTTTTCCTCCACCCCTTTTTCCTTTCCTTTCCTTCCTTCCCCTCTCTTTCCTTTTCCTTTCTTTGCTGTTCCCGTTTCTGTTTGCCACTTTATTCTTCTCAAAACTCCACTTTTAAAATGTCTGAAATTCAATTTAGAAATGTTCACTGTTCTTTCATAAAATATCTCTATATGAGATAAAGTGCCTGACAAGTAGTAAGTGCCCAGTAAATACTTTATAAATCATAGCAGATGAAAGCTGTTATTAGAAATTAGAGAGGTTTTTATTTTATTAATAACAGAATCACAAATATGAACTTAACTTATGATGCAAGTTACAAAGACCAGCCAGCTGTCTTCCGTAAAGAGCATGTGCTAACATGTGCTATTTGAGGGGTATTGTCTGTGTAGATATTATATGTGTCTCAGGTCTCATGAGACTTCCTGATGTTCTAGATTGAGGTATAATCTTTGATTCTGAATTAGTTTTAAAATACTGCTTTCCTTGCTCTCTCCTCTCTCCCAGAACATAATTTGGGAAATAATATTTTAGATGATTTTTCTTAACCTATTTATCTGGCATTTTGTTAATACAGTCTAGATGGCTGTAATGTACAGTATACCAACCTTTAGGGTTTTTATAAGAGTTAAAGTAGGTAATCCATGATGAATTTAATATAATGTTTGGCACATAATAAACACATAGTATAGGAAAAATAGTGGTAAACTTATTAGTAATTAAAGTTAGAATTCAGTAGAAAACGACTTTCAGTGTCTGTACACGATGGTGGTAGTAGTAGAAGTAGGTGTTATTAAAATTAGTGGGGAAGCAGAAAATGCAGAGCCACCAACTCAACAATTTTGAGCATCGCTGAGTCTGTGAAGTCCATCCCCTCATTTCATTTCCACTCCCATACATTAGAACTTCAACCCTTGTTGTCTTAACTACTATAGTAGTTAACAACTTTATTTCCTTACTCCCTTTAGAGGTACTTCCTTTTCATGTCTTTTTTATTTGTATAAATTGATGGGGTAAATGTGTAACTTTGTTACATGTATAGGTTATGTAGTGGTCAAGTCAGGGCTTTTGGGGTATCCCATCACCCAGATAACATACATTATACTCATTAACTAATTTCTCATCACCTTCCCCCCCTTCTTTCAAATCTTCATTGTCTATCATTCCACCATTAAAAACATTTTCTGAAATGTAGTTCTGATCATGTACTTCCCTTCTCATAAAAGAGAGAGACCTTCAGTCACCTGTGGAATTTTATCTTGACCTTCAAGGCCTTCTGTGATTTAGACTCCAACCTGTTTCTTCAGATTCTGTATATTTGCTCATGTTTTTATGCATTTGTTCCTGTAGTCTGGCATAATTTTTCTATACCGTCTGTAAGATTAGATGATCTAGGTACATGCAGTTTAAATCCCACCCTTTCTGTCCTTAATAAATGCTGCCTTTAAACTCCCATGTTTCAGAGACTGAAGAAGCAGTGTTTTGTGTACTTGTTGTGTGTCAGTCACTGTTAGATGATTCCTCTGGATTCATGATTTCTCATTTAATCCTCACAGTACTCTAGGACTTATTTGTATCCTTATTCTGTTTTCTAATTATTGTTGCTTGTCTAAATTTAAATAACTAGTACGTAGTTCACCAAGACCACAGTCATCTATTTGACTCCAAAATGTTACTGTTGAGGCCCAGTCTACATGGCGAGTACACAATACACATCTGCTGAAATGAATTTTTTTTTTTTTTATGAGACAGAGTCTTGCTATGTCGCCCAGGTTGGAGTGCAGCCTCGGCTCACTGCAATCTCCACCTCCCGGGTTCCAACAATTCTCCTGCCTCAGCCCCCCAAGTAGCTGGGACTACAGGTGCACGCCACCTCACCTGGCTAATTTTTTTGTATTTTATTAGAGATGGGTGTTATCCAGGCTGGTCGTGAACTCCTGAGCTCAGGCAGTCCGTCTGCCTTGGCCTCCCAGAGTGCCAGGGGCAGGTGATATTATAGGCGTAAGCCACCGCACCCAACCTGAAATGAATTTGTAAACAGTAAACATATGTTGTACAGCCTTGAATTATAATTCAGACTTTGCTATAAGCCAAGGTAACAGTCTCTTCATTTTCTCTCCTGTCAGGAAATAGTTTAGTGTGAAGCCTTTCCTGTTTTTTGTTTTTTTTTTCTGGGAAGAATGTTCCCAAGATACAGTTCTTTGTCTCCTTCAACAGCATGATCTCTTCAGCCCCGCTTCCAGCAGGGAGTTCTCTTTGGGAAAAAGACCAGATTTGCAAGGAGATAATCTGTCATCAGATGACATATCTCTATAATCGTGTATTGGTCCTAAAATGTTGTGCTCTTAGTATAACTGCTTTCCCCTTCCCACCTTCCCTCCAAGGACTGTGGTTGATTGTTCTGTCATTTAGAAGGCACCTAATGCTCTCTTTTTTGGAAAGAAATACGGCTTAGAAAGAAAGTCTGAAGTCCATCTGCTTGGACATATCTGTGCTACCCTAAAATGAGGCTTTAATTTGCCATATACCTACTTTAGTTCACTGTAGAATTCACACCAAATCATAAATGATAAATCATAAATGACTTTGGTGTGAATTAAAGTAGGTCTGTGGTTTCTCTAATAAATGCATAATAAATTATGATAATTCAATTCAGATTATTGTTGAGCTAAACTCTAACCTCCATGCGGACATGTGCCATGATTCTTTGCACACCCTCTGCCATTGCATCAGTGCTGAGTTTAGAGGCTCTTAATTAAAACTCACTAGATGGAAAATGAATGACCTTAAAGATATGAATATGAATTAAAAATAGAAACTTTCCTCCATAAATTTAATTTCCATAAATGGAATCTGTAAAGTCTATCCCTATTCCCAGTTCACTGACAAAAGGAGGGGAAATTTTAAACAATCATTTCCATGTTGAGAAATTCCTAGATAAAAGCAAATAAAGTTACTTATAGCTGAGTCAGGATTAAAGGAGGGATACTCCAGTACCTTAATTTCACAGTACCACTCAGGAAAGCTGTTTCAACAAATTACAGTTTATGTTACCAAACAGTCTTATTTGAGATGTATTGCTTTGTTTTTCAATTATAAGTGGTTTTCTGCTCAAAAAAAAAAAAAAGATACGAACATGAATAAGAGACATTGTTTACCCTCAAAGAAATTAAAGTCTGATTGGGCACAGAGAAAGTACTATTAAAATTATGTCTTTCTGCATCGTGTGGGTTTGAAGTTTGTTTTTTTTTTTTGTTAAGATACTTATAATTAGGATAGTGATACTGTTTTTTTCTTTGTTAAGTTACTTGTGTGGCAGTTAAGATGATTCTGGTGGCTCTTAACATTTTTTTTCCTTCAGTCGGGAACATGCCCTGTGTGCCGCCGTCATTTCCCACCTGCAGTTATTGAAGCGTCTGCAGCTGCTTCCTCCGAGCCTGATCCTGATGCCCCACCTTCAAATGACAGTACTGCAGAAGCACCCTAAACCTTAACAGTTGAAATGAGATCAGTCTATCGAAGTAAATCTGCAAATTCCTTCTAAATCTCATGTGCAAATAATTATATATAAATATATTTAAAAATGCTATATATAGTATATGCCGTAGTTTAGAAAGAGAATATTAACCTTTCTAAACTAAATTTAGGTTTGCAGAAAGTATTAAACATTTTCAAGCTGAATGTTGAGACAGTGCATCCATTTTCTTTAGTTGAATATGTTTGTATTAATTGTAAGGTCAAGCTTATCAGTTGACTCTCTCCAGAAAAAAATAATCATCCTGTGTGGCATACATTATTGGCTTTATCTAAAATACTGCCACTAAGTGATTATAATTAAACTCTCCTGTTTGCATCACATGTAAAGACTGTGTTCACAACAGTAGTAAAATTTGGTTTCATTGGAAATAAATTCTAAAGTATGCTTTTTCACTAGTCCCTTTTGGTTTTGCATAACCTCTTGGTTCATAATGCTGAGAAATTTTTCAGAAAGTCCATTTTTGACTTTTCACAATGTGAAATGAAGGCTAAAATTTTGGCCAGAACATCACAAAAGTTTTAAATCTTAGATGTAACATCCCCCCAACCCCCCCTCCCCAAAATAAAGTTAGGTAGTAAAATCCTTAATGAAACCAGTGGATGTGCTTAATGTAAGGTTAGTAAAGCATACTAAGAATCTGGTGTGCTCAATGCTTGGTACAAATGAGCTGAATTAGATGGCCTTATTAAACCCTTTCTAACCTCTTACCCAACCTGTTTCTTGGTTACAATTATACTTGAAGGCCCAGAACACTCATGGAATGTTTGTTAAATATTGGATATCGTTAGTTTAAGGTAATTTTGCATCTACAATATTTTGGAAGGTCTGAAAACTTGCACGGGGTCATCTTCGTAATTACGTAACCCCAAACTAAGATGCACAGTGTCTCCTTTAGGTGATTACACACAGTAGACAAGTATGTGCAAACATGGACATAATAGTTCACTTACAAATGTGATTTGATGTTAACACTAGAGAATGGTGACTGTTAGAATATCACATTTGAGCAAGTAAAATAGTAAAGCACATAGTGAATGTATGTCCATCTAATTGGTCCATTGAGAATTTAGTTTGGGCACATAAAAGGAATATTTATATGGCCTCCCAAATGCAGAGTTATGTCTTATTTGTGTAATTCCTCTGAGTATTTATATCCCGTCTCTTTTTTTCATTCTTAAAAATAAATGAATTTTCACTGTTGGCACATTTGAGGCTTAAATATAAGGAACATAACACTTGCATTCTAATTTTTGCATATATTGTAAATGTGTCTGGTATTTACAGCAAAATACTGTGTATCCTTTTATGGGTAAAACAAAAGTGAACATTGCATGCATGTAATGTGATGAATTTGTAATTTAGGAGTTCTTTGGAGCTTCTGTGACTTTGGAAATGCTTACATTCAGGCCTTAATGTTGCATTAGCTAGCATGTTTTTCCTCTGATGTATATAGTCACTGTTGTATAAACTAATCTTTGCTTGTTTTTTACTCTGTGATCTTTCCATGCCATCTTTCATTAATAATCAGTTAGTGTCAAGGAGTCAAATCAGATTAAAATTAATTTCATGTGTATATTGTGGAAATTTGTGGCTAGTGTGATTTTTGTTTGTTTCCTTTTAAGTACTGTTGATGAGTTGTGACACTTACTGGTTAAACTTACGTTGCTAAAGATTTCTCTGTAATAAGCCACACATTATATTTAGGCTGTATTAAGGGACCTTGGTTTTCTTCTAGATAGCAGCTGTCTCAAAGAAAATATTTCTTCTTTTCCTGTTAAGATTTAGCTGTTATCTGCCAGTTGTTAAGAGGTTCTGGTTCCAAACTCAACCAGCAATGTTGAGAGCTGAACTTAAGATAGCTGTTGTACTTTTTGCTTTCCATCTGTTACTGTCCTTCATTCTTGGCTCCCTACTATCTATAAACAGCTGCTGTGAAGGAGAAAAATTGAATAAGAGTTGGCTTAAATTTTAAAAAGGAAAAAGAAAATTGAGGTTGTACGATTTTCATGGTAACAAGAGCTGATATAAGCTAAGGCTGACAAGTTCAGATACCAGAATATTATTTGGTCATATCTTAGATCTTTTTGAAAAAGTTAAGACTATATGAAGGTAAATTAGAAGTATGAATATTAATAAAATATCATTTATCTTATTTCTCTATGTTGTGACTTAACCTAATTTTATTTTTTTAACATTTTCTTATTTCTTGTAATATGAATGCTGATATTTAAAAGTAGATCTATGTGGTTTTCTTTTGTGTTTCTTAATTGTTTATTTCTAACTCTTAAGATTATTTGTGATCTGGATTTATGTATTTGTTTAGATATATATGAATTGTTAAGATGGAATGCAAGTTTTTCAAAAGCCCAGGTCTAAATGTAATGGTTGGTTTATTGTTCTACAACCCCAGCCCATCATTTTCTGTGTAAATCATAAACAATAAACAAGATATACTCGGTGGTCATTTCTAATATTTAATTGTGTGATTGTATTACTTCTATAATGTAACCCCTGAAGGATTTAGAGTTAATGACAAATAACACTAATGAGCATGTAATATTAAAGTTATTGAACAGTGATCTAAGAAAGCCCTAGAAAGAGCCAGATAGAAGTAGTTGATGGACTTTTTTCTGCTGGAGGGTCTCTGAGTCCTTTCCCTCTCCTGCTTGTCATCCCTGAGTTCTACACTGACTCAGGACTGCAGAAACCCTTAAAGGAAGGGAGCCCACCTCACGTCATGGTTTTCTCCAAACCAGGCATGGGAATATTATCAAATCTTTAATATTTTTATTAAATAATTTATTTAAATTATTAAATTTAGCAAGATTCCTCATGGTTCCCAAACAGTTCAGAGAACTCACTCATTTGAGAAGGGTCAATTGGGTGCTGATAAATTAAGCCATTCAGTTAGACAAAGACTAGCCAGGCATGGTGGTGTGTCTATAATTCCAGCTATTTAGGAGGCTTGAGGCGGGAGGATTGCTTGAGCCCAGAAGTTTAAGAGCAGCCTGAGCAACATACTGAGACTCTGCCTCAAAAAAAAAATTTAAATTTAAAAAGACAAAAACTAATCATTTTGTTTAGATGCTTAGAAAGAATTCTCATTCTCATCTAATAGAATAAATATGTACTAGAAAAATAGTCTCAGAGCTAGAAACATCAGTGATAAACCTCTACTGTCGATGCTTTTATAATTTCATCACTATTTTCATTCATCCACTGCTGGATGGAGCCATTTGGCATCCTTGCATAGGATGAATTTCACTGTTGGAAGATTGTCACCAAATTTATCTTTAAACAGCACACATGTGAACTTAGATAGAAAGTCCTGTTTCTTCTGTGTGGCCACCTCTTCATATTCTTCTTCAGGCTTCATATGTCCTGAAATCTTACCCGATATCTATTCCAAACCAACTTAGGGTTGGCTCTTTCACTTAAAGTATGTTGTCCAGAATTAAACAGTCCTGTGGTCGAATTAGGGCAGGGTTCAGGGGCACTGCTGCCAACTTCAGAGTGATCCTCTTATGGCTGTTATGGTTGGTATATGTAATTATTATTATTACCACCATCATTATTAGCCAGGCTGTCATACTTGTTGGTTGTCTCCTGCTGAGCTTCACGGGTATTGCTGGTGAGCCTAGTCCACACCTAATCTTTACTTAAACAATCTCTTATTAACCTAATTGAAGGTAGCATTCATCCTTACTGAATTTAGTTTGTGAAGGCTCTTCTGAATTCAGGTTTTTCCTCTTAGCCGTGCATCAGTTCCAGTTTTGATAAAGCATGCCTTTGGTATTTAGTGGCTTTGTCTAAGTTGTTGATATATGTTGAATTGAACAGGATCCAACACAGACCCTCTTCAGAATGCCACTATACACAGCACTTCAGGTGAGTGATCCATTAATTAGTACTTTGGATACAGTTGTTACAGTACTTACCAATCACTTTATATGCCCCTGTTTCTTCAGCTTTCCTAAAAAGGACACTAAAAATTTTGTCATTTGTGGCAGACATGTACTATGCACTGTCTTTGGAAGTAGCCTAATGTACAAGTATATTAAATAAAGAAAGGAAATGAATTCAGCTGGTAATGCCTCATTCTTAGTGAAACCATACTATCTCCTTTTCTGACTGCTTACATGCCATCTGTTTAATAACCTGCCTTAGAATTTGGTAAGTGATCAATGTCACTCATTTTAATAATTTTTGGAGTCCACCTTTTCCCGTCTCAAAATTATGTCAAAAAATTGCCAAAGTCACTTAGTCACTCTGCTTCTGTTTTCTCTATCAAATAATGAGTCCAAATTACAGGTTCATTACTACCACTATCTGTGCATGAACGAGTTTGAAAAAAAAACATGTTTTGCATACTTGGTTTCCATCATTGTTTATAGCACCACGTTTTGGAGATTGATGAAAATTTCAGATTAAACTCCTAAAAACATATTAATTACCTTTCAAGAGGTGAGAATTTGACAGGGGAACTTTATTAAGTCAAAGTAACATGCAATTTTCAAAATTTTACTAAAAGGCTGCAACCTAACATTAATAAAGATAGTTGGCAATTTATTGCATCTTATATTGTTAGTATATAGTCAGTATACAGTTTTTATAGTGAACATTGACAGGGAGGAGGTCTTTATCTTATCTTTTTGGAAAGATACTACTTGTTACTGTCAGTAAAAGAAATTCTGCCAGTCACTGTGATTTCCTTAGATTATAACATTTCTTCTTAATAAGATTCATTTTTTAAATGCATTTTTGCATTATAATAGTTCCTATTTTATGAAGCACGAACTAAATATTAGGCATAGTTTTAGGCTCTCTATTTTCATAATGTTTGCAGGGTTGATTTATTGTCTCAACTTTACAGATTTAAAAAAATAATAATAATTGAGCCCCAGACATGGTCAGAGAGCCCTGGTTCTTAAGCAAGATGCTGTGGGTTCTGTCCACTTCATGCTGCCTTCCTGGGTAGGAACAGCCTACCTGATCGGTTTTATCTGCATTATTATTTAAGTAAATTGCTTGAGATGTGTCTGTTTTGTTTTGTTTTTATCAGAAAAAGTTCAAATCTGTTAAGAATTTTGAGAAATATTTTTTTCTTGTTATATTATTTTGCTAACATGTTAGATATTTGTGTACTGATGACCAAGATTCTAATGTGGCCCTGATTAGTGAAGTTTCTTAGTCACCGGTAAGATCTAATGAGAACTTCCTACCTTTGCCTGGTAATTTGGGATTCTTAAACTGCTCTGCACACTGTCTTTGGCCTGAAAGATATATAGCATCCTGTTGTCTCTTAGCTATTGAGAGCTAACTATGCAGACATCTGTCTACAATTTGCTACCCTTTGCAGAGGTCTGGATTTCGGTTCCTTAAGAAGCCATAGGCATTTGCCCTCTGCAATTGCAAATACTCCAAAGGGTATAGAACCTACCCTCAAGTTGTTTCATCCATAGGGATACTTGACAAGGGCTTTCCTTTTGATTTCAATTCTTAATAAATGCCATTTTAAATTCTTTTTTAAAGAATTTTTTTAAAACTCGAGCTGTTTAAATTATGTCCTAGTCCTGTTAGTTTAGTCCCAGTGTCTTATGAAGAGAACCCAAGTGTTAGAAACAGTTGTTACAAGGGACTTCTCTACGTGTCATCATACCAACTGGCTTTTGGTCTCAACAAATAATTCTTCCTCTTCACCTGGACCAAGGATCCCCCAACCTTGACATTGCAGTATTCTAGGTTTGGTGCCATTCTAGAATATTAGACTTTTAATTTCTGTTTAAGTAAACCTTCAAAGCAGGTGAAGATAGAGATGAGGAGCTTACAAGATCAACCTGGTCGGGAAAGCAAGTTCTAGCCCCATTAAATGATGATGAAGCTATTCACAAGTGAGCACCTTGGTTACAACCCCACATCTAAATGTGTAAATACTACCTGAAAGAAAATGTTTAAAAATTTTCAAATTAGGGAGCTTATGAAAGTAGCATATTAGGACATATCAAATGGAAACCCTTTCTCAATCTGCTGAAAAACACCTTCATTAAAGCCAACAAATTAAATATTTTCATAACCTGAGCTACTGTCCATTTAATGTTTATCAAGTGCCTACTCACAAACCTGTGAACAAAATAGACAAGATCCCTGGCCTCCTGAAGTGTCCGTTGGAGTGTTACATGTGCCCACCCCCAACACACTGGATTTACTCAGTAGAAAGGATTTCATCTTAGCCTGGGGAATGCCTGACACACAGGGCCTTAGAGTCTCTTCTGTGGTTACCCAAGCTAAAGAATAAGTGAAGAGCCCCCTAAGGTGACTTTAGCTACCAGCACCCACTCTCAAGCCCAAAGGATCTATAGCTATATTGAGATATTTATAGGATGAAGATCTAAGAGGTTGTATGCCCTATGGCCCACAGGAGGTCATGATGTCTCACAACCAGGGAGATTTGAAAAGAATTTTATTATATTTTACTTTGAGATGGAGTCTTGCCCAGACTGGAGTGTTATGGCATGATCTTGGCTCACTGCAACCTCCGCTTCCCTGGATCAAGCAATTCTCCTGCCTCATCCTCCTGAGTAGATGGGATTACACACATGTGCCACCATGCCTGGCTAATTTTTGTATTTTTAGTAGAGCTACGGTTTCACCATGTTGGCCAGGCTGGTCTCAAACTCCTGACCTCAGGTGATCCATCTGCCTCAGCCTCCCAAAGTACTGGGATTACAGGATGAGCCACCACGCCTGGCCAAGAGTTTATTTTCTAGAGATGGCGGTGAGTTGAATAGAGAGAAGCAAAACTCCAGTGTTTGACCTTAAATCCTGTGCTTTATTTTTGCTACCTTTCTCTTCTCCCTGTGCTAAGGCATTCACATGTATGCATCCAGTGTGGTTTTATCCAGAAAATAGAACATGAAGCAGGAAATTTTGAAGCATTGCTTTTCTGCTGGCCATGTAGCCTCTGATACAACATATAATTTTTTTGTAACTATGCTGGCAGACCAGCACTAACAATGAACCCTGCAAACTGTCTTATAGTCTTACAGGCCTTAACAAGGAGTAAGTACCATTGTGAAATTGTCGAACTTGCTGTATTGTGACTCTCACAGAAGCTGAATGGGCCAAATGAAAGTACACTGGACATTAAGGGACATAAATGCTACGCAGATGGACAGCCATGTTAAGACAGTCCCCATTCCCAACTTAGCAGCAGCACTATGGTATAGCAGAGGTGCCAAATCTGAGCAAAACTGAGGCTCACTCAGGGAATGCAGAAATGTTGCACAATCCTTTGTGTTCTTCTTCCCCCAGCCTCCATACTGTGTAATGCATTTTGTCCTGAAACTAAGGCCCTGAAGAACCGCCTAAAGCTTAATTTACATGTAGGTGAAACTCAGTAGAAGGGGAAGCAGAACAGAATGCTGCATTGGATGGATTTATCACAGTGCCTGCAAGGACCATTCTACCTGAAGG